GTATTTTAATTGGGGCTGCTTTTGTCAACATGTGGTGGGGTTAGGTGATAGGAAAGGTGTGATAGGAAATATGAAGAGAGAGGGGAGGAGAGAGAGAGAGAGCCATAGCAAATGTAATTCAGGTCCAGATGTTGTTAACGGGTCAGACTTTATGTCTTGTGGTATACATTTTTTTTTAAAAAGATGACTACTTGTCATGAGCCAATTATGTTGAAATGATCTACTTGAGTCATGACAACCAAGACTATTTTCAATAGTTCAGACATTTCCATCAGTGGCTTCATCAGCTTCATTCTGCTCTGCTATGCTATTCAAACTTGTGTTTTCCATTTTTCAGAGTCGTCAGTTAATCCATAGAGAGAGAGAGTTTCAGCTGTGAGCAGGTGCTCAACCTTAACCACATTCACTAGGCTCACTTATTATTATTGGTTGCAGAAATCCAAGATAACTTCAAAGACTTCACAAAGCCTGCTCCAACGCAACAGATCAATAATACTCAGACTGCATACAGAAACCAGAACGCTTCCCAAACCAAAATCTTGCTCACAGATTCTGAATATCAACGCAGATAGTAAAACAGTAAGGTCCCTCAAATCACCAAATCAACCCCTGAGAAACACACCCAGGTCGGGGTTACCCACAGTCAGAAACATACCCGAAATATACTTAGTGGAGGTAACTCCCACGTAGGCCAATTAGTCGCCTGTTTTGACAAAAGCACCGGGGTTAAAAAGTAGAGTTATTTGGCAGCAACCTTTCTTAGTTTTATGAATTTGTATCAAGTCATACTGCGGGGAAATACAGCCCTACTCTGGGGGGAAATACACACCCAAGTAGCGGGTTACTCACGGTCACACCAGTGAAATACACTCTGGTTCCATTCCGCTTCCAGTTGGCTATCCGTTCATGTTGACTCCAGGGAAATGAAGAACAGCTCCATTTGAAAGTGAATTGCTGATTTGTTGAAAGTGCAATTATACAAGCATGTCTTAACTATAGTTACCAGATATTGTGAATGTTATACAGATACAATATGGACATAGTGATATGGTGTACGAACAAGTAATCCAGCCAACCGTTTTCCATCAACGGTTTTTGCCCATAATGAATACTTGCAAATAACAGAATTGGGAGCAGGTTTTAATGTCTATAAATAGTTATTTCAAAATATCAAATCTACACTAAAGACCACAGATATTGTTTTATTTCTAAACATTTAAAAAAACATGGTTTATCTGTTAATACGTCTCCTGGGGCCAAAGAAACAAAACAGACAACACACGAACCACAACGAAATGTTCTTTTAATAGCTCTCTCAGCCAACGTGGCAGCAGAAAGTCCTTCCCATATGTGTCCAATTGTCCACTATTTGTGAAACTCCCCTGGCAAAGAGCGCCTCACACAATGGTACAGAGGACTCCAGGATGTGAACCGTCTCACGCAGCAGGGACGTGACAACCATGAACGACTTGTTCCAGAACGTTTCATGAGGTTGAATGAAGCCAGTTGGCTGTTTTTTACCAGTATACACAGTCCTGAATGGAGCTCATTGGGCTTCTTAGAGATGGACGACTGCTGGTGTTGACAGTTGGAATAATTGATTAAAAAACTACACCCACTCCTACAGACACTGACACGTCCTATACATCATTCTAGCTGTCGGGAATCAACAAAATATCTCTTAATTTGGGACTTGAATGTATCCGCCAACACCCATGATGTCAGTGTGACCCCATCTGATCTACAGTTTGAGATACTCCCCTGCATCAGCAGTTATCATAAATCATATTTGGTGGCACTATGTAACATTCATAGTGCGCAGTGTTGTGTCATTCATCAATATATGGTATGATTAGGAGATCCAGTGTGGTTTCCAGTGGTAGCATTTTAGATTTGCTTTTGTTGGGTTAATTCCTGGGTTCACATTTGTGTATTTCATCCTCATGGTTACAGAGTCAGCTGTAGGTCCTTGAGACTGGAATGTATAATGTTTGGAGGCTTCAGTATACTTGCTGTACATACAAAGTTGGTGTGAATTAAAGGCTTGCCCAAAAACAGACAGCGTTCTTTTATTCAGGGGGACTGAGAATTTGAAAGAATCATAGTTTTGGTCTTTGTTTCTCAAATACTGCACAAGAAATCAGACAGATTTGAAACAACTATCTAAATCAGAGGTCTTCAACAGGGGGTCCGCGGCCCCTAGAGGGTCCGCGGAGGTACTGCAGGGGGTCCGCGAAATCTTTGGTTAATTAGACAATAAAAAAAAAAAGATTACATTTTTTTTTTCTAAACATGAATCTGTCCATTATTTTAATAGTTCAGTATTGTATGAAATATAACAGGTATGTTTGTGCATATAGTAGCACTAATAGGCCATCACTCATTTTCGTTTCCACATTTATGTTTAAAATTAAAACATCAATTTGAATAGCTTGTGTGCATGATTATCATGCAATTGACAGACAATGTTGATATTGGCATTGGTATCAGCTGACAAGGTATGTTTATAAATGGCAGTGGCACGGCCACCCTACTCACTGTACCGTGCACATGTTTAAAATAAAAACATGAATATATGAACCTGTGTATTATTTGAATAGCTTAGTATTGAATGCACAATAAAGAGGTATACACGGTACTAGGCCTATTTAATATAAAACACAATTTTATACAATATATATAGTCGGGGGTCCCTGCTCCATCTCTCTATCAGTTTGGGGGTCCTTGGCCTGAAAAACGTTGAAGACCCCTGGTCTAAATCACTCTATTAACTTAACCATTTCAAGAATAAGGCCGGTGATATTCTCTATATTCCATCAGAATCCAGATTGTTGCATTGTAATTGTTGCATAGCATAGACATAGTTGAAGAAAATTAAACTACAAATAAAAGAAAGTGTTGAAAAAAGCAAGAAACCTAAATATAGAATATAGAATAGAAGAAAATTACAATCAAAATATAAAAAGAAAATCTATAAAAAAAATATGTTGGGCCTATTAGATATCAGAGTTAAAATGAAAAAGATGTGCGGTTTTTGAAAGTGTTCTTTCTTTAATTCATTAAGACTTTTGTTTTTATTCTCGGTTCACCATGGAGGCTAAAAACAAAGTCTTCTTTAATTAAGAAAGGTATCACGGGGTTACTGACACACAAGTGCTGATGTTGTGGGTTAGGTATTTCTTCGAAGTGAAATAAAATGGAAAAGCTGGATGTCAAGGGGTTAAATGTGTGTGATCACATGTATTTGAGATGGAAGCTTGAGTTCATGGAACCTCAGATCTTAGCAATAAGTGTGGAAGCTATCATAACCAAGATATGGACAACCCTACACAAAGCAGCTCTTATGGTGTCCACTTTCCTGAGGGGTTACCAAGGAACTAACTACAACTTCATGACGAGCAAGTTGTTGTGTTGGATACTATTTTCAGAACAAAAAAGTCCCTTGTTGTAAACCCACAAATTTCCCTTCTAGTCCCTACTTTATTAAAAAAGGATTTACTTTTTTTAGACATAAAGCCAAACTCAGTTTATTTGTGGTCCCAGGCTGTAAAATACATTCTACTACAGCTGTCATGTGGGACCCAAACACAAACAGGACTGAGCCCTGAGGGAGCTGGACTCAGAGGACTGCTGAGGAGAGGGGTCGACGGGGGCTGTGAGACTCTAGAGAGTGTGTGGCTCGGTTCCAGTATTGGTAGAAAGCAGCATGCCCAGACCTGCTGCCTCATATGAGCAGTCAGGCAGACCCAGCTTTAGTATCTCTCTGTCACTGGGCTCAGCTTCTGCGCTGCCATTTCAAATACCGCTGAGGTCACTGCCATGTTGTGAAACTGAATTTGATGTGGATGCCTTTATGTGACCTCCATGAACAAACAAGACTATCCGCGAGAAGATTGGCTATTTCTGTATAGCTTATCGATTTATGGCATGCAGATTTACCAGAAAGTCAGGGCCTCCGGCAGCGACCAGTTTACCGTGGACAGGCCCAGATCCGACTTGGCTGCCTTCTTCAACCTGCAGTCGGACATCCATGCTCCTCCAGTCAAGAGCAGAGCTTTGACCTCGCTACTTCGCCGGCCCCCGCTGGGATCCAACGCCAGGAGACTTGGAGACCTAGGCCGAATGGCTGAGCCAGGTGGAGGGAAGGGAGGCATGGGAGAACCAGACCCAGGATTGCACAGGGCAGACTGTCTTCAGTAAAATGAGAGGTTTTCCAAAGGAACTCTGGTAGCTCGGAAACACTACCGCTTATGTCCACAGGGGCCGCCAAAATCAATGCAAAATGAAATTTCAACAAAGTAGCTTTAAGGACCTTATAGAAAAAATGTATTTAACATTTGAAAAAAATCATTTTGAAACAAATATGTATGTTTAGTGTATTTCTTCAGCTGTCTGTAACTTTGTTCAGATATAGTCTACACTTTCTGAACATCTCCAGAAGCTCTGTGGTCTTTCAGAAAGCCGTCTGGCATCATGGCATGGCCCTGAGTTTATTTAAATGTATACAGAGCTGTTTACTGTTCCCATTGCCAGTATTTTGATATGTAATTACACACACACACACACACACACACACACACACACACACACACACACA